CGCAGGTGTCGTCATCTGTTAGTTAAAGTATTCTCTGTAATATGATTTACACACGACCGCGGTCCTTCACGTGGAGCCGGAGCATACAAGTGTCTCTTTCTCACAAGTACGTAAGCTGAGAGATATGTAGGCAAGCGCTGGGGACACACACGCACACACGCTCTCTCTCTCTCTCTCTCTCTCTCTCTCTCTCTCTCTCTCTCTCTCTCTCTCTCTCTCTCTCTCTCTCTCTCTCTCTCTCTCTCTCTCTCTCTCTCTCTCTCTCTCTCCCTCCTCCCCCTCCCCTCTCCCTCTCCCTCTCCCTCTCTCTCTCTCTCTCTCTCTCTCTCTCTCTCTCTCTCTCTCTCTCTCTCTCTCTCTCTCTCTCTCTCTCTCTCTCCCTCTCTCTCTCTCTCTCTCTCTCTCTCTCTCTCTCTCTCTCTCTCTCTCTCTCTCTCTCTCTCTCTCTCTCTCCTCTCCCTCTCCCTCTCTCTCTCTCTCTCTCTCTCTCTCTCTCTCTCTCTCTCTCCCTCTCCCTCTCCCTCTCCCTCTCTCTCTCTCTCTCTCTCTCTCTCTCTCTCTCTCTCTCTCTCTCCCTCTCCCTCTCCCTCTCTCTCTCTCTCTCTCTCTCTCTCTCTCTCTCTCTCTCTCTCTCTCTCTCACTCTCTCTCTCTCTCTCTCTCTCTCTCTCTCTCTCTCTCTCTCTCTCTCTCTCTCTCTCTCTCTCTCTCTCTCTCTCTCTCTCTCTCTCTCTCTCTCTCTCTCTCTCCCCCTCTCCCTCCCTCCCCGTTTCTAGCTTCGTTAGTTTTGGTTCCTTAGTCTCATCATTCCCCCCTATTCCTCACAGTTCTGGGACGTGCCTCGTTGCGCACTTTGACCCTGTTTGAGTTTCCTTATGTGATGTTTAGAGGATGGGGCTCCACGATGGGGCGGCGTACTTTAAAACTGGCCTCACTTAGGCGCTGTATAGCGATCTAAATACCTTTTTATTTAAGGTCCTGAATGATGTTCTGACTTTTCCTAATGTGGAATATAATATGCAGTTATATTTATATGAGCCGCCAGAGTTAGGTTTGGTGTTATGTCCACTCTTAAGTCTTTTTCTCTAGTCGTTATAGGAAGGTAGTTTCCCTTCATCGTGTACTGTCCTTTTGCTTTCCTGTCACCTGCATCCATTTCCATCTCCTTACACTTGCTCGTGTAAGATGGAAATGGAACTCCACCAGCCATTTCTTGGTGCAACTGTGCAGTTTGTTTAAGTCATCTTGGAGAATCTTACAATCCTCATCTGTCACAACTCTTCTCATTAGTTTTGTATCGTCTTCAAACATCGAGATATAAGACTCAATTCCTGTAGATCGATCATTTACATTAATAAGAAATAGTACGAGTCTCAGCGCCGATGCTTGCGGTACTCTGCTTGTTACTCTTGAGAGCCGGTCGGCCGAGCGGACAGCACGCTGGACTTGTGATCCTGTGGTCCTGGGTTCGATCCCAGGCGCCGGCGAGAAACAATGGGCAGAGTTTCTTTCACACTACGCCCCTGTTACCTAGCAGTAAATAGGTACCTGGGTGTTAGTCAGCTGTCACGGGCTGCTTCCTGGGGGTGGAGGCCAGGTCGAGGACCGGGCCGCGGGGACACTAAAGCCCCGAAATCATCTCAAGATAACCTCAAGATAACCCTATGCCAATCAGACTTCTTGCCCCTCGCTGTGGCTCTGGGGCCAGATTCACGAAAGCACTTACGCAAGTACTTAAGAACGTGTACATCGTTCCTCAATCTCTGACGGCTTTGGTTACATTTATTAAACAGTTTATAAGCATGAAAACTCCCCATTCAACTGTTGGTCTTGTTATAAACAGCCTCCTAGTGCTTCGGAGCTCATTAACTGTTTAATAAATGGAAACAAAGCCACCAAAGATTGAGAAAAGATGTACAGGTTCGTAAATGCTTGCGTAAGTGCTTTCGTGAATCTGGCCCCTGATTCCTATCTGTTAGGTAATTCTTCACCCATATTAGTGATATTCTGCTCAATCCCGCCTGCCTCTCGAGTTTGTGTAATAGATAAGATACTCTCTTGTATCAAAGGCTTTTTTGGCAGGCCAGGAATACGCAATCTGCCCAACCTTCTCTGTCCTGCCTTATTGTCATGACTCTATCATACAACTCCATTAGGTTCGAGAGGCACGATTACCCTTCCTTAAAACTGTGTTGATGTTTGTTTACCTAATTCCCACCTTGCGTTACCTACCCAGGTGTGTAACTAGTTATTGCAAGAGATGCATGTCAGTGGCACTGGTCTGTAGTTAATTGCCTCTTCTCTATCTCCTTGTAAATTGGTATCACATTTGCCTTCTTTCAGCAGTAGGGCAATTCTCCCTTTCTCATTGACTTGTTAAAGATCAATATTAGAGGTACGCTGACGTTTTCTGGTCCAATAGCTTAGCTTACACACAACTAGCGTCACTTGGCGTGTGTGTGTTCTCATCTAGTTGTGCTTGCGGGGTTGAGCTCTGGCTCTTTGGTCCTGCTTCTCAACTGTCAATCAACTTATGTACAGATTCTTGAGCCTATTGGGCTCTATCATATCTATACTTGAAATGTATGGAATGTGTGTGTATGTGTGTGTGTGTGTGTGTGTGTGTGTGTGTGTGTGTGTATTCACCTAGTTGTGCTTGTGGGGGTTGAGCTCTGGTCTTTCGGCCCGCCTCTCAACTGTCAGTCAACTGTTACTAACTACTAATTATTTTTTATTTGTCTGTGTGTGTAATCCCTGTAACTGGTGTACCAAGATTAATTCTTGCTTCCTCTTCTATACCTGTTAAAAGGACACGTGTTGTAAATCAGGAATCCTATATATGACAGCTATATCAGAGAAAACATTTCTATATTATATGAGATAAGGACCAAGGCATAATTACCTGGATGATGTCGCTTGTCATGCGTTCTAACTGGAATTAATCCTATCTACCTGACATTACCGGCCGGAAATGACTAGATAAGATTTCGGAAAGACATTGTCATTGATTAGATGTTGACTGCGTGTTGATGATGGAAGAAGCAATAATTTGATCTCCATAACACTTCGTCCAAGGGAGAATTACAGGAGCTGAACTCGCTCCTGCGACTCTGTTGTCTAACAATGGTTGACCTCTCTCCACTGATACCCTGAGGCCAGATTCACGAAGCAGTTACGCAAGTACTTACGAACGTGTGCATCTTTCCTCAATCTTTGATGACTTTGGTTACATTTATTAAACAGTTTACAAGCATGAAAACTTGTAAATCAATTGTTGTTATTGTTATAAACAGCCTCCTGGTACTTCGGAGCTCATTAACTGTTTAATAATTGTAAACAAAGCCGCCAAAGATTGAGAAAAGATGTTCAGGTTCGTAAGTGTTTGCGTAACTGCTTCGTGAATATAGCCCCTGGCTCTTTGTCCAGATGTCAATAACTGGCAGAAAGGTCACATTTACTCTAATTTGGTACTGATAATTAAGTTAATTCAAATGAGATGTTTTTATGATGTTAAAAGTCCAAAGACTGCGGCATTAATAACAATTCCCAGCAGAATAGCTGGCGAATTTAATAGCGACGTGGCAATGATATTCCGTTTTCTATTGACAGAAAATTCCACTACAGGTTACATTTTCTATGGGTTAACTTATGTATATAACACAGCAGCAATATTATCTGCTTATTGTATTTAATATTAGTAAATGGTGTCGGGTTTTCCGACATGAGACTCATTGAAAGCCCGTATGAAACACCAGAGGTAAAATAATCACCAAGATATATTATTTTTTTTTTTTTTTTTTTTTTTTTTTTTTTTTTTTTTTTTTTTTGAGATATATACAAGAGTTGTTACATTCTTGTACAGCCACTAGTACGCGTAGCGTTTCGGGCAAGTCCTTAATCCTATGGTCCCTGGAATACGACCCCCTGCCGCGAAGAATCGTTTTTTCATCCAAGTACACATTTTACTGTTGCGTTAAACAGAGGCTACAGTTAAGGAATTGCGCCCATTAAATCCTCCCCGGCCAGGATACGAACCCATGACATAGCGCTCGCGGAACGCCAGGCGAGTGTCTTACCACTACACCACGGAGACTGCACTATTGTTAATTATTCTTAACACTAAATTTTGCTTGATTAAATACAATAGTAAAACTCGCATTAGTGTCTGTAGTAGTGGCTGAAGCAGCGTAGTAGTAATAGTTGCTGACATGCTAGTAGTAATGGTATTAGAAAAGTAGCTCCCGTCTTCAGGTTGTGCCCATCCAAGCTACCGCCGACCCCAAAGATATTTAACAATTTTATACACTTCTTTTTGATTCAGCTACTTGGAACAAAAAGCTCTAAGTAGCACGGGCTATGGAGAGCCCGCAGTGGACTTACCTGGCACAGGACCGGGGTTGGAACTCGTCCATATATATACTTTATAAAAACTGGTACATTCTCAACTATAAATAAGTATTAATATATATTACAATTTTGTCTATAGTTGGGTGTTTAACTTTTTTTTGTTATATATTTGTATTTTGCAGTACATAAGTGAAGAAGCATTTAGAGAGACGCGATTCGAACATAACAAGTGAGTAAAGCACTGATCGGGAAAAGTTCGAACGTCATAGTTGTGTCTTATGCGTAAAACGTTTATCGTTCATAAACAGGTGATTTGGCGGCAGGATTAACGAGCATTTGGTCAGTGTTTTACGAGGCTGGGCGAGGTGAGGTAGCAAAAATGATAGTGGCAGCAGAGGGAAGACCTCCATGTTAGCAGGAATGTTACTGAAACACTCGGGGCACTCACTATGTGAGCTTAAACTTAATCATGCAAGTTCAAGTTCAACAAACTTAGAATACCAGTTCATCGGCGCGAGCGAGATCCAACGGAGCAGCGTACTGGGGCCCCTAACACTGAAGAGGACATAATAAAATAAACGACTTTTTATACACGGAACGACGAATAATACACTTGGCAACCGAGGGACCTTGGCCGTGTCGTGGAGCCGAGCGAGAGTCAGTCTTGCCCAGGCTATGGTGGTGAGAGCTACGCTGCCGCTCCCCCGACCTGTGCTTCCACTCTGCTCTCTTATAACTCCACTTAACTAGCGCGGTTTTATACTAATCTGCTATTTTTATAAGAGATTACTAATGCCCTCTGTGAGTGTGTGATCAAAAATCGTCGTGAAAAAACAAAAAATGTTGTGAAATAACTTGAGATAAAGTTACTTGTGTTTGTTGAGGATATATAAATGTGAATTATTTCCTCGTGGATAGTTACTTTGCTGAGGAATTGCGCTGCCTAACATCCTCAGTACAAAAAGGTAAGTGTTTTCCCAGAGAAGTAATCTAATGTGTTAGGAACTATATTCTTAACTTGTCCACTGTATATTAACTTAAATTGTATATAATTAAGTGACAGGTCTGATGCCGGCGCATCAATGTATTAAACATCTCTTCACTTGGATGTTTGGTGATGTGTATGTGTATACATAAGTAAGTCTTCCTTATACACATGTATAACTCATGCTGCTTGTCAATAAGTAAAATTTGTTTAATGGAGGCTTCATCTAGGCCTAAAACAGGAAATTTGGATGTAGAAGTTCTTTTTTTTCAGAGACCGTTCTTTCATATCCTTTCTGAAATAATCGATAAGTTTAACTCATTTTGATATATATACATATCCGGGGCAAAAGTTTAGGCTGATTACATATTGGCAAGTTATACATACATATGACAGGTGCCTAAATAGTGGTCTTCAAATATCAAAGAGTATACATTCATTCCATTTACCTGGGTTCTAGGAGACTCGAACCTCGGACCCTATGTGCGTGAGGCCATACATACGCTTGTATACATACATGTCTTCATTTTTGTAATGCATTTAGAGTCATATTTTTGAATTGAATATTTTTAGTGGTCTGAAACATGACATTATTGTGGCTCTCGCCACAAATCTTCAAGATGATTAGCTTAAGTTAGCCTGTGATAGGTTAGTTTGGGTAAAGTTTTGTAGGTTTTAGAATATGTTGGAGAGCCGTGTTGTATGCGATATATATGGCATATATCCGTGTATGATCCCGTGTGGCAGTTGAAAAGATGTTGAAAATAATTTAGCGTTCATTGAAAACCGCGCTTGTATATAATTCTATATTACTTGGAGATGGTAACTACAAAAAGTAGTTAAAGTCAAGTAGTTAAAAGTAGTTAAAGTAGTACTGTAGTTAAACTGATATTTTTTTACAAGACTTGTTATCCGTTTATTCCCAATAACAGGGTATAATTACGGTTACTAATTACCTCAAATTGGAATGCAGAATTGGAGACGAGTGCCTCTTTGAAGAGCTTCACTCAACGAGTCTGAACTGAGGATGATCTGTGTCTCTCTTAATTAAGAGTCTACAGGTTGAGCTAAACGTTCCTATGATGACTCCTATAGTGAGTTTAAGGATGCTGTGATATGGGAAGCTTGTCCTGTACTCTGTTTAATGGTTCTATGTCCACGACTCAGTCGAGGATCCCTGGTTAAATTTCCGGACAGCTCAGAAACGGTTGGGCACTTTAGACAATTATTGTGGGGTTGTATCCCAGGGAAGATCAGTAGTTAGACCAGGCCTAAGGGAACCTCGATAAACCATAGTACAAGCTTCCTGTCCACTGCAATGGGAATTGTTATGAATTTATAATAAATATCCCTAGCTTATTGTAATCCTAGAACCTTATTAAGTAAGGATTATTCAGATTGTGCTGGAATCAGCAACCAGCCGTTGTTAAATTAATCCAAAGGTTTTTCTGTTTTAAAGAGTTTTAACTAAATAATCGCCCGTCTTAAATGTGTTTAATCATTTCACTATTTAAATTATTAATTTTACAGCACAAATATAAATTGCATAGATGGCCTTCTAGTCTGTACAGTATTAGTGATTGTTGGCGAATAATGTTCCAAGTTGTGTTCCAAGTTGTGTACGTGTTCCAAGTTGCTAGGCTGTGTACGTGTTCCAAGTTGCTAGGCTGTGTCCGTGTTCCAAGTTGCTAGGCTGTGTCCGTGTTCCAAGTTGCTAGGCTGTGTACGTGTTCCAAGTTGCTATGGTATATTAAGGTTGCCCAATTTCGATTTAGTTTTCTGAATTTCAGCTTCGCTGGAAGGCGCTCGCCGGTTTGGCGTTTCTGTTGAACCATTGAAGGGGTAAATATTTTAAGTGAATTATTTCGTACTCTGGCTGATACCTATTTGACCTATAAGAGCTTTTTGCGTTCCGACAAAAATCTCTCTGCTTGAAATTTGTAGTCGTCATATTTCTATTTTTGTTCAACAAGGGTACAACAGCGTTTATGCAGCTACCTAAGATTGTATGAAGGGTTACAGTGTCAAGAACTAGATAATAACAAAATTCACAGGATGGTTAGTCATACAGAGGCATGTGATAAGTATTTATTTATTTATTTATAAAAAGGTACATTGGGTTTGTGAGGATACATAGCATAGTATTTACGACTTGAGAATGGTCCTTGACTTGAGAATGGACTTGAGAATGGTCCAGGACGGACCGAAACGTCGTCGTCCCTTCAATTTCTAGTGTGTGGTCTGGTCAACATAGTATTTACAATCTTGTAAAGCCACTAGTACGCGCAGCGTTTCGGGCAGTAGCCTCTGCACTGGCAAACTTTAGGTTCATTATGATGCTTATTCACTCTCGTGTTCTTGAAGATAAGTGATTGCAAAGGTCCGTGAATCTAATCCTGGCTTACATGTTAACGCTTATCTGCTATTGACTAATGGTAAGTCTGATGGAGGTTTGACGCTTCCGATACATATATATAGATATCGGATCTAATTTGTTATGCTGATGCTTTCAGGCTGTGATATCTTTCTAATCAGACCTAAATTTTTCGAGCAATATAATAGTAATGATTTGTTTTGTCGGGGACAGGCAGTCTTTCTTTTAAATATATTTCGTTGAAAACGACAGGAAGTTTTAGATTTATGATTCTGGCACGAATCTTCTCGATATTTCTTATGTTTTTCTTCACTGAAGCAAGAAGATTAAACATTAAAATTGACATATGGATGAATGACATTACATGGAGTATTAAATTAATGGGATAATATCGGGGTATTAAATTAAGAGTGTGACATGTTGGCAGCTTATGATATTCTGGTTGCTTCCGTTCCTGTTACAGGGTCATTAGGTCTAGCTTCTGCGTTGGCCCGGCGTCTTGAAGTGGGCAGAGTGTAACTGTGTATTATTAGCTGGTTATTGATTGCTGGTCTAGATTTCTTGATATGCAGCTCTTCACTCATGTTTAATCTTGTATTGTCATTGTATCTTATCAGTTATTTCGGTGTTGTTCGTCAAAATATCCCTGATATTTATATATATATATATATATATATATATATATATATATATATATATATATATATATATATATATATATATATATATATAATAATATGCATATGGGTCCCTACACTTGTACCAGAGGTGGTACCCCTTCTGGGTAAAAAAATATATATAATATATGTATTATACTGTATATAATTATCCTGGATTATATATAATATAGACTACATGAAGGGGAGTACAAGTGTGTCATCTTTTACCATCACTAGCTACGTGATGGTAAAAGTTCCCATCACACAGCGTGGTTGGGTATACAGGGACATGTGATCAGTAGTCTGCACTGGCGAACTCAGGCTGCATTATGAAGATATCATGAAGAACACACACGTGCATAAGACGAGCTTTTTTTTTTACTAACACATTTAGGTACATCTGCATTTGTGCAGCTACCCTAGACTATATGAAGGGCAGTACAGTGTGTCAAAAAATGGTGCTAAAATGGTGCTAAAAAATCCCCATCGCACAGGATTTTTAGTCATACAGAGGCATGTGATAAGTAGTCTGCACTGGCAGACTCTGGGTGCATTATGAGGATATCATGAACACAAAGAGTGAATAAGGCAGCAGTGATACTAAAAGTCCCCATCTCGCAGGATGGTGAGTCATTCAGGGTCATATATGTTTAGTATTCTGCACTGGCAAATTTTGGGTGCAATATGAGGATATTTTCAAGAACACGAGAGTGAATAAAGTAATTGCAAAGCTCCAGGTACCTCATGCGAACGGGTCTGTGGAGATCATGCCGCAGTTCCTGTTCCGAGCTTTTTTTTTTTTATTAGTGCATGAGGTACATCTGCATTAGTGCAGCTCCCCTAGACTATATGAAGTGGAGTACAGTGTTTAAAAAAAAAAGCTAACTAGGTGATGCTAAAAAATCCCCATCACACAGGATGGTTAGTCATACAGAGGCATGTGATAGACAGTCTGCACTGGCAGACTCCGATAGCATTTTGAGGATATCATCAACACAAGAGTGAATAAGGTACCAGTGGTAATAAAAGTGCCCATCTCGCAGGATGGTTAGTCACACAGGGCCATGTGTTTAACTGTTCGGAGCATCTGTTTGTAAGTTAAATAAATCTATGGTATACACACATCTCATATCAAACATTAAACTTGTTTGATATGAGATGTGTGTATACCATAGATAGTATTGTTCTGGGAAATATTTTTTTTTTTTTTTTTGAGATATATACAAGAGTTGTTACATTCTTGTAGAGCCACTAGTACGCGTAGCGTTTCGGGCAAGTCCTTAATCCTATGGTCCCTGGAATACGATCCCCTGCCGCGAAGAATCGTTTTTTCATCCAAGTACACATTTTACTGTTGCGTTAAACAGAGGCTACAGTTAAGGAATTGCGCCCAGTAAATCCTCCCCGGCCAGGATACGAACCCATGACAAAGCGCTCGCGGAACGCCAGGCGAGTGAGTGTCTTACCACTACACCACGGAGACTGATTTTAGACACAAAGAAGATACCGGGGTTGTTTGTCGTGCTTTGTCGTGCTTCCTGATGGATGAATGTGACTTCTTCAGCTTTATTAGGCTTCTTTACTTAATTTGTAATGCATCCATCATCTGAGTAGTTGTTGAAAAACGTGGAGGATTAATTATTTGATTCCAGATAATTTTTTGATAATTATTTGATGGCGTCCCAGCACCTTGGTCAGCACGAATTGCGGACCTTAAACCCCAATACATTTTTGACATTTAAATTAACATGTTTAAAAGAAAACCTGCTGCCAGTATACACCAATATATATATATATATATATATATATATATATATATATATATATATATATATATATATATATATATATTGTTATATATATATATATATATATATGTCGTACCTAGTAGCCAGAACTCACTTCTCAGCCTACTATTCAAGGCCCGATTTGCCTAATAAGCCAAGT